AACGATGGGCTCAGATAAGCATATACCATCAGTGGAAGGTGAGATTGCGGACAATGTCGTTTGATTACAGGGATTAAAGGCAGTTGCAGTAAAACATCGGCCAGAGCTGCATTCCCCTATGCATGTGCAGCACGTGAAGGCATGTGGAACCTCGTGAATATTCAGTTCGGGACTTGCCGTCTACGTGTGGGCGTGGCCACGGCAGTTCCCATTCGCCAACTCTGTTTACGAGTGTCTAAGTGCCCGTGTGTATCGTTTGGTATGTGCGCGTGGTGTGTAGGGTGCGTAATGGTGGCAACCTTCTCGACACCACGGATCATGGAGTCGATCTTCTCGACACCACGGACCATGAGTCCCGAGACGCACATCCGCTTGGCGGAACCGTTTCCTCCTTGTGCGAGATCCTTGCGGTATTTTAACGGTGTAACTACGATCCACGGAGCGACCGCAGAGGACTTCGAAGAGGACCCCTGGATGACCGTCGTCCCGTGCATGGACAGGCATATTGACGGTTGGTGCGATGGCAATTGGGCCACGATGGAGAGTGACTGCCCTTGGGCAGGCCAGTACAACTTCGCCAACATGTTAGAGTTCGGGGACCTCATCCCGCTGCCTGACGCTGTCCTCGGCCACAAGTTCCTGAACCGTATGCGCAAAGCACTGAGCTGCATTAGCCGCTATTTCAGTCGCCTCGAGTGCCACTACGTCAAGTCGTCGCCACGAACTTGGGGAGGCTCGCGGAAACAAGAGTTGGTGGACTGCGCTCGTCACTGCCCGTTCCTGGAGTAGTACCCGCTCCGTTGCCCCGGGAATTCTCCACAAGCTGTGTCATACTGTTGTGTGTGGTTGACTGTGTCCGGATCCGATTTCGCCAGGGTTTTATGTGTCGCTACTTCGAACAAGAGTAGGAAACTCGTCAATGCAGTTGTGCTTGTGTCACGCAACGAGGTGGTAATTGAGGGGTCCAAATTCGTGCCGACGCGCGGGCCTGCTCGTGTAGATGGGTGGCGAGATTTGATGATAGCAGGGCAGGTCCAAAACTTTTCGTTGTGGCATGAGGTGGAAGAGAAAGTGTCTAACATACGGGACTGTATAGGGAATTCCTTAGCACGACCGGGAGTGTTTGTTAGGATGAAATACATGTCCGTCTTTTCGGAGAGTGCATCAGTCGACGAACCGCTGATCCGCGTATACGGATCATCAATGAATGCTTTGTATGGCTTCGGTTCATGACCTCGTCCCCGGGGAACCCCGAATGTCATGAGATTTGGATGGGTAGTCAGACCTTGTGTTTAAGCGAAAAGAAGGGAGATGTGTGAGAGGCTTGTGCGTTGCCGAAAATGGCAGATTTGAAGTAGTGGAGAGAGGTGTGAGAGTCAGCAGTTGCTAGTAGACGCTATACCCCGCACTTGTGGTGCAAATCCCTGATCATCGTTCAGTTCAACAACCACCGACTTATGGGTCGTATGTCTCTGACGCCGTCTCTTTCCATGTCGCACCCTACTGAAGTTCGGATCCTGGAGAACTTCGCGTTTTGGGTTGTGCGTTGGTTTGTCTTCGGTCTTGCTAGTGTCGGGGGGACCGCACGAACCACCCCGCACCACGAGTACGGCCCGTAATATCTCCGCGGTTGGAGGCCACAGCCCCGTCCGACCGGCCTTCGAGTTTCGAGTGCTGGGCGGAGACCAAAACTTCAATGATTGGCGTGCTCTGTATCCAATGCTTGAGCACCGGCTGCGGGTGCTTACTAACGAAGTCCGCCCGAATCCGAACTTCAATGATCGGGCTATTTTGCTGCTGAACAGTTGAAGTTCGCCGGCATCCCGACTTCGCGTGTTTTATGCTCGGGTGCAGAGCAGGGCAATCGTCGACGTTCGGATGAGGAATAGGGAGGTCACTGAAGTTCGGATGCGGGCGGACTTCTCCGGACAGAAACTCTGCAACCGAAGCCCTCGTTCCTGCGTCGGTGGTTGACTGGAGAAGTCCGTTGGCATCCGAACTTCAATGATCGGGCTGTTTCGTTGCTGAACAATCTCACTTCGCCTGCTTCCGAAGTTTCCATATTCACCGCCTTCGGGAGTAAGGTCTTCCTGCTTCCGCACGGGGGGGGGGCACGGGATGGGAGGACTGAAAAGGCCCGCCGGAATCAGAACTTCGAGGTTTGTCTTCGAGGGCCTACTTAAGAAGTCCGCCGGCATCCGAACTACATTCACCAGCCTGCTCTGCATCTTGCTTCCGCGTCCCGGTGGCGGGGAGTGACTCACGTAGTCCCCCCGCATCCGAGCTTCAATGATGGCCTCCATCATCGTTGGGATGTTCGACCGTGTCCAAACAATGCAATTGTAGAGTCGATGGTGCAGTCTGATAGTTCGGATGTCGGCGGACAACCACACTTGCCCCAGATCGACAATACATGAGGGTCTGATGCCAAAAGAACATCTGGTCCACGACCATCCAGTTCGTTAAGCCAGACTGAACACTTGTCTCTCTACTGTCAATGTCTAGGCAATGGTTCTAGTTCGGCTTCCAACGACCGACAACTGTTTAGCAGCACAGCGGGCCAGTCATCGAGGTTCGGTCGCAGATCAGGGCAGTCATTGTAGTTCGGATGCCGGCGGACCTCTTCGGTCATCCTCCACATACAAAACATGAATGTCGGATGTTGGCAAACCCGTGTTGCTTTCCCCTCCCGTGATGGGCAAAGAAGAACCTGGTTGAGGCGGTGGTTGTGCGGTGATAACGAAGTTCGCTGGCATCCGGACTTCAAATACTGGTGGGAAAGGACGACTATTGACGAGCATCCATGACTTCCGACCCGTCCACCGGCATCCGAACTTTGCGCATTGCCAACGCTAGTGGTCATGTGTAGTTCGGGCCACGCAGGTATGCTGTTTGGAGGGTGAGCTTCGATGGCTGCGGTTCCCGTTGTGCAGGACGGCGCTCAAAGTCCGCCAGGATCCGAACTTCGCAAAATCTGGTCTCGTCAGCGGAACAGGCCTCGTGCTGCCGAACGGCTTCTCGACCACCTTCAAGGAGTGCCAAACAGTCGGCGGTTATCTTTGCGGACTGCCAAACACACTCTTATGGTACCTCCGTTTGTGGCCTTCTTGTTGGATCTGGGTCTGTTTCGAGCAGAGTTTCGCACTCCACAAACAGAACCCCCCCCCCGGATCCCGCAGGTTATCAGTTGTTCG